TCGCCGTTTTCCTATTCTTCTATCTCTTCTCTCCTTTCTTCCTCTCCTGCCTCCGAGTTCCTTCTTCTCCTCCCTCCGTTATCATCACGTCGTCTCATCACCTTCAGAGAGAGAGAAATGGAGAAGGAGAGAGAGGGAGGGAGAGACAGAAAGAGAAAGAGAGAGAGAGAAGAGAAGAGTGAGAAAAAGGAGAGGAAGAGAGAGAGAGAAGGAAAATGGATGCCTTTTGCCAAGGTTCTAAGGGCGGTGTGCAATCATGTGGGCTAGTGTTTTCTTTCTCGGTTGATGCAAAAAGTTGTGGCCTATATATACATACATATATATATATATACATATATATAGTGTATATATATGTGTATATATGTTATATATATATATATATATATATATATATATATAAATATTATATATACATATATATATATAAATATAATATTATATATATATATATATATATATATATATATATATATATATATATATATATATATATATATATATGTATATATGTACTATATATATATATATATATATATATATATATATATATATATATATGTATATATATATATATATTATTATATATATATATATATATATACAAACACATAGAGATACCTAAATAAACAAATAACAAAAACAAAGAAATACAAACACACATTAACCCCCGTTAAATCCACTCTTTTTATCTTCTTCTCCTTCTCCTTCTTTCTGTACGTAAAAGACGTAACATGACAATTACAAACCGAGCCTATTATTACGTAAAAGTGTGATGTCACTTACGGCGAGGAAAAAGCGCAAGTGACGAGCAATTTGTGGAGTCATTGTGTGTGCGCGAAAGTGTACTGCGCTTTGCTCTCTTCATTTGTCTGAAACCGGAGGCTGGGTTTGCGCGGGGGGGGGGGGTTGTGTGTGTGTGTAAGTAGGTAGGGTGGAGGGGGTTAGGAAGGGTTGTGAGGGTTTGGGGGTTGTGTGTGTGTGTGTGTGGTGTGTGTGTGGTAGGGGCCTGTATGTGTGTTGGTAAAGTGGTGGGCGTTATGTGTGTGGAGGGGGTAGGGGGTTCGTGTATGTTTCGGGTTGTGGGTGAGGCTGTATGCGGTCATGTGTGGTGTGTATGCGTGTGTGTGTGTGGGTGTGTGTGTGTTGTGTGTGTGTGCGTGTGCATGTGTGCGTGTGTGTTGTGTGTGCAGTGTGCATGTGTGCGTGCGTGTGTGTATGTGTGTGTGTCCGTCTTTGTGTCTGTGTGTGTGTGGTGTTGTGAGTAGGGGTAGGGGTGATATGTGTGTGGAGGAGGGTAGGGGGATCGTGTACGTATACGATGTGGATAGGAGCAGTGTGCGCCCGCGAGCGCGCGCGACGCGCGCGCGCGCTTGTGTGTTGTGTGTGTGCTGTGTGTGGTGTGTGTGTGTGTGTGTGTGATGGTGTGATCATCATCATCATTCTCACCATCATATTTGTTATCATTATCATCAGTCATTATGCCATCATTGTTATTTATCATAGCTGTTCTTATTGTTGATGCTATCAATGCTGAAAATGTTATTTTTACTATCATTATGAATGTTATTGTTGTTATTGTTCTTATTTTTATTAATTGATATTATCATTATCATTATTGAAATCATTATCTTTATTATCATGATTATATCACCAATATAGTTATTATTATTGTCATTATTATCATTATCATCTTTATTGTTATTACAGGCATTACGATTATTAGTAATGCCATATTAGTAATATTATCATTGTCATTAT